ACACATATATATATACATATATATATACATATATATGTATATATATATATATGTATATATATATATATGTATATATATGTATGTATATATATATACATACATATATATACATACATATACACACATATATATATACATATATATATATATATATGCAGAGTGGGAGTTGAATAGTTAGACCTGGAATTAGATTAATTTATAGGAGTTTGATTTGTGTGTATTTATCAATCTTAAAATAAAATTACAAGATTATCACTAACGGGAGTTTGATTAGTAGCAAAATAAAATTGATAGATTAATTATCTTATCACGTCATATTATCACATTTCCTATTACATGATATAAATAAAAAAGAGTTACTCGATAGAATTAGATGACTCATCACGCATACAATCCTCTCGTACAAAAAGTTTGTAACATTCTAATTAATCCCTTGTTACAAATGAATAAAATTAAAATTAACTTAAAAGATAAAAAAAATTATTAATAGAGTTATTATTAAATATTATGTTGGGATCAAGAGACTAGCGTTAAGGTTTTGAACATCGAGAAGGTTGGCTCGATTGCACCAAGGGAGATGTAGAAATAATAAAGTGACGCTAGGGTTTCTAATCATCGACGGGAGGTTGAAGAAGGCCAATTTGTATGATCCTTAGGTAAAGCCTAGACGATGTTAGCTATGGCTAACTAGGTCGATAATAGACTCGCAAAAATTGATGTGATAGAAGAACCTATTTTGTCCATGCTATCCAATCAGATCTCATTTAATGAGAGATCCGAGATAAGAATTACCTCCGATGATCTATTGAATGAGTAAAGGAAGGTAGTTCTCATTAATGCAGTCATAAATGGCCTCCCAAGTTCATGAATATTATTGGTAGAATCATTCTCCGGCCTGAAAGAATATTGGTAGAATCATTCATGGATATCGTTTGTTGAGGTTAAGGAACTTTTAGAGAGGTTAAAACTATAAGGAAAACAAGAGGATTCTGTCTGTTGTTAACTAGGAGGATAAATTAAGTGATTGACTGATATTAAATGTGGTTCCATTAGTTAAAATTCATTCTAAAATACCATAAAATTAAACATTAACAATATGATTAGTTAAAAAAAAGTGATTCCATTAATTAAAGTTCATTCTAAATGAATCAGCCATTGCTGTGATCTGAGAGTGACACAGAGTTGCTATAAAAATTAATGGTGTTAGATAACATTATATATACTTCATCATTCAGAGAGTCAGAGTTGAAGACATTTTTTCTTGGGCTTCACCACCATTAAGACTTCCCCCAAACCCTCACCTTTGCCAAACAACTTGTATTTTACTTGGGCTTCACCAACCTACCTCAGCTCGTGACATTTAGATCATCACTGGTTTGGCATTGGCTCCTCACTAGCAGGAACTTTATACATCTGATATGTGTGGATTACAAAGCAGCAGATGATGCTTGATCATTCAATTTGGCACATCAATCAAAGAGAAAACAGGACATGTGAGCATAACATGGCCTTGGATTCTTCCATCAACATGTTTATTATTCAATGTTTCTGCAGGTGACATCTACATTTCTTCTGTATGATCCCTTTAACATACATGCAATATACATCATATACGTTGTATCTAAATCAGCAGTTAAAGGTGTGTTCATTTCTTTATCGAAAGGTATCTCTGTCGCCGCTGCTTTCCTCAACTAGTGCTGTCAATTCTGGCTGTTCCCACTGCCTTACACTGTCACTGCACCTACTTTTCCCCTCTCGAGAATCGTCGCTACTGCTGCTGCTGCTGCTGCTGCTGCTGCGGCTACTTCTCTGTAGATTTGGAGAGGGAATGGAGCCTGCCAAGGGGGCGCCACCGTCGCCGCCGACCGATCTGGGGACAGTTGCCCGGACGCTCAGCAAGATCCTTCGCCCGCGCCTCTCCTCCGCTCGTTCTGTTGGTGGCGAGTACGATGTGATCCACAAGCTGAAGCTCACGCGGGACTTCGGTGGGTACTCTGGCAGTCTCTCTGACTGCCACGGCGATAGCTTACAGAGAGCTGAAGCGGAGACTAAGCAGCAGCGGCGGAAGAGTGATGCTTCTTCCAGTGATAGAGAGGCCATGGAGTTCCTCCTCGCGAACCTCTTCGCGAGCGTCTCGGCCGTCAAGGCCGCCTACGCGCAGCTCCAGGTGGCGCAGTACCCCTACGATCCCGACTCCATAGAGTCGGCGGACGCCGTCGTCGTCGCTGAGCTCAGGCGTATCTCGGAGCTCAAGCAGTGCTACTTGAAGAACCAGGTCGACCCTCGGACCAGCCGCATTTCACTGCCTGCCCTCGCCGCGCAGCTCCAGGAGCTGCGCAACCTCATCAAGACCTACAAGATCACCATCCGCAAGCTCAAGGCGGAGCTCGAGCACAAGGACGCGAAGATCGTCGCCCTCCGAGCCGAGCTCCTCGAATCCCAGAGCAAGGTCCGGGCTTTGGAGGCTAAACTGCACCCCAACCGCTCCCTCGCCGCCATCGACGCCCTCCACCTCTCCGGCCTCAACCCCACCCATTTCCTCACCGCGTTGCGGTTCACCTACAAATCGATCAGATCCTTCGTCCATCTGATGGTGAAGATGATGGAGTCCGCCGGATGGGACCTCGACGCCGCCGCAGGATCAATCCAACCAGACATGCTCCGCCGGAGAATCCCCGGCCACCGCGTCTTTGCCTTCGAATCCTACGTCTGCCGGAGGATGTTCTCTGGATTCAGCCACCAAAGCTTCGGCCTTTCTTCCTTGGAAGAATGCTCGGGTTGGGATCGCCGGCAATTCTTCGACGATTTCACCCGGCTGAAGTCGATCGCACTGGATCAGAATCCAGGGTGTCCACCGTCGCCGGCAGCGCAGCTATGCAGGGCGAAGTACTTGTCGCTGGTGCATCCGAAGATGGAATCTTCCTTCTTCGGCGATCTCGACCACAGGGAGACGGTGGGCTCCGGGTGGGGCTTCCCAGCCTCCGAGTTCTTCGCCGGGTTCGCCGAGATGGCGAGACGAGTGTGGCTCCTCCACTGCCTCTTCTTCTCGTTCAAGCCGGAGACCAAGCGGTCCATCTTCCAGGTCCGACGACGGACCCGGTTCTCTGATGTGTACATGGAGAGCGTAGTGGCAGAGGAGGAGAGCAGCGGCGGAGCAACCACGGTTGGCTTCACCATAGAGCCGGGGTTCAGGTTGGGCCAGACGCTGATCCAGTGCAAGGTCTACCTGATCACAGACGAGCCAGACTTGGACGGACGGTCGTGATCGAGTTCGTTGGTCATCGACGGCTGTGCTGAAGCGTCAATGTGGATGTTTTGGCAGAGTAATTAGGTCAACACGTTGACTATGTACAAAATAGTGTAATGTAATGTTTATGACGAGTAATTGTTCAAAGCATGTGTACGTGACAAGAACAAATGTCATGTAACGAAGATGAATGGGATAATAGTGTGTGTATATATATATATATATATATATATATATATATATATTATAATAATAATAATAATAATAATAATAATAATAACATAATATCTCTAATGGCAATAAGATGATGATGTCGGTGTTAATAATATACTAAACAGATCTTTATAGGTTAATTTTAATTGTATCATTAGTATCGTCAATCGATCATTTTTAAGATCTTGATATCTAAAATCCACATCATGTGGTTAAAGGCATTCCCAAAAGTCTCCTCTAAATACACCTTTAACCCAATAGTGAAGAAAAGACACACCACCTGAAACTTTCGGTGCCACCAATTAAACCTTGCGACAAATCCTTCTTCTCAACTCGAATCGGATTCATGTCGCCGTATTCCTCCGACAATGATGCCACACTAGGGGTTGACCAATGCATCATGCACTTGTTTGGAACCAAAAGGTCAAACAACTTGTTGACTTTTTCGTCGGTGTTGGCGTGTAATTCCCGCCCCGATATGGACTACCGAAGCATTTCCGTCGGTGCTTCTAATGGAAGTTTTGGTGTGACATGACTTGGTTTAAGTTTTCTCTTCTTCCCTTTTCTCATAGATTTCAGCTTAAGCTGGCTTTTAGGTGGGTTGACAGTGGTCACTATTTAGCGTGTTATCCGAACTAAGCTGATCGAAGTGGTAGATAGTTCGAGAGTAAATGGCATGATGAATGGAAGGAGGTGACATTGAGCCAGTGACATGAAGACCCCGTTCTACTGGTACTGTACAGTCTCCAATCAATCATATCGAGCAAAGCCATCTACCATGCAAATGGATGGAGTAACTTCGTAACATTTCAGACCATCAAAAGCACCAAAGGAGTCACTTCTCCTTCAGAAAAAATTAAACTATGCAGTTCTGGAACTCAATTGCCTATTGATCTGTGTTAATGATGATGTTTTGACTTTGATACAGTAGGCAATCTTGTATGCAGTTGTGTTGGATTCTTTTGTGTGAAATCTTATGATTTGAGAACATGCCACTGATGGCTTTGTGACATTTTCTTTAGTATTTTGTTATTTTTCTCAAACAATTAGCAGGATAGAATCTATAAATACAGGTTGCACGCCTAGCCATCTTAATCACCAGATTGCTAGTAACGCTGATGACAAGATTAGGTAGGCTCAGTGGCTCAAAAGCTCTATAATATTCTTAGAGTCTCCCACAAGCTTTAGAATTAGGCTTTGGATATATATATATAAACCTTCTTTTGGTTAGCATCTATACAGCACTTAAGATCTCAGGTTTATTGGCACTATCTGTTTGGAAACAATGATAGCTCAGCATCTGTGGTAACTCATTCATCTATTGCTTCGTTTCTCTAGTTGTTACCGCACCACAGATGAAGTCAATGGCCTCTCACTACATTCTTCTCTCTCTTTGCTATGAGTTGGAGCTGTCTCAGATCTTTGGAGGAGAAGAAAAGGAAGGCAAGTTTTGATGATTGAATCCTTTGTGGGTAGCAAGAAAAACTAATGATTAGTCTAGCTAATAATCTCAATGATGCTTGTAGGTAGAACCTGCAGCCATGACATGCAATCATGTTGCCAACTCTTATTCTTTAGGTTATACATACACAAGCACGCAACAGATACTTCAGCCAGACAAGTAGATAGAAGCAGCTCAAGTGTCACAACTGTGATGTTACTTGTCTTATATACACTTCTTCTCATCTCTCTGATGCATCACATTACTTGAAGCCAAACAGAGCAAGAAAAGGAAAATTTGAATATACCTTAAGAAAATCTTGGATGGAATAAACTCCAACTCAGGTTGAGGAAGAAGAAAGAAGGAAGAATTATTATTCTACGAAGCTAATTAATGGCCGACGCCAGGACTGGGGACTGATCCCAGCATTGATCCAACGTCGTCGTTCTTGTTTGCGCCACGACCGCTTCTGTTCGGAGAAGACGGTGGCGAGCTTCTTCCTGGGAGAAGATGTTGCATGGGGGAGTCAGCTTCCGAGGGTTTGACGTTTTGCTCCTCCCCCGAGGAAAGCAGCTTCCTGGCTTGCAGAGATGGTAAGATGAAAAGAAAGAAGATGAGAAGAAGTGGTATTGTCTTGCAATATGAGGCCATGGTGGTGTGCTCTGTCTTAATGCAGGAAAAGTTTGAGGGTTTTGGCTACCCTTATATTGACGAACATGGTGCTCTCTCTCTCTCTC